TATATATATATATATATATATCATTAGTTGTATCATTTTCCCGAGTCTACAATAAACTGCCCTTTTGAGTTGATTCCTGTGTTGCGAATCCTGCATTTTGAGTCCTCACCTCCTGCCTGCACACAGCGATTCCTGACATCGGCACTTTGTGTTTACGTCCCTTTTGCGCTAGATTCTGAAGTGGCAGGTTTTATCTCTCTCCAAACAATATTGACTGAACCATTAGCAAAAGAAGATCCAAACTAGGCTTCACATTTCGCTTCACATAAACATCGTCATGAATTCCCTCTTACTTTTACTGATTCGCTTCCAGCACAATAAAATCTCACTTCAGGCACATCTCTCTCTCTCTCTCTCTCTCTCTCTCTCAGTATACTTCAAGAACAGCTTCCCATTTAAAAATCTGTGTTTTCTGCATTATTTGCTTGCTTATTACGCACAAATCTACCGTTGTTTACAACACTGTCGGCAGCTGTCTTTTTTTCCCCTTTTACTTACTTCCAAAAAGAAAGCCTGATTTGTGCTGTTCAATAGACTACTGAACAAATTTAAACTTTTTAAAATTATGCAAAATTGCAAAATGATTAGCTGTGTCTCTTATAAAACCTCTGTAACTTTGCTCTGCTTTGCTTCAGCAGCATCAGGTAATGTCCATCAAATCAAATCATGGATCAAATTGATTCGGGACCTTGTGAATCAGAATCGAATCGATTCTAGAAATCAGTGACGATACCCAGCCCTACAAGGCAGCTCTCTTTTTTGTTACTATGTGACCTGCAAGTCTGCAACAGTCTCTCACATGGGACAGAAGTGGCAGGACTAATCAAATACTTGCGGGCCAGGACAGTCAGCTGTGGGTGGGTCTCTGCTCGACTGGATTCTGCTCTGTACAAATTCAGGGCCCTGTTACACAGGGCTGCCTCATCTGAATCAGAGTCTGAAGACAATGAAGAGAGGAGGAGGCTCTTTGTCTTTGTAGGTTCCTTTGTGGTGGGATCTTTACACTGTACCTGCAGCAGGGCCTCAAGGCTGCTCAAAACCACTTCT